AGGAGTGAAATGCATGGGGGAGAAAAGGGGACTGAGAGAGCCCAGAGGCCCAAGTCATAAATTCCACCCTGTCTCCAGTTTGGTGCAGAAACTCTTCTTCCCAAGACTAGAATGGAGTTTTAGTTCAGGGACTGGCCTTGCTCCAGGGCACAGAGAGGCAAGCCAGGCAAAGATCCCACGGGTGGTGAAGGTGGAGAGGTAAGGGATCCAGACCAAGAGATGGACACGCCCACAATGAGCACTCAGACCACAGCGGGCGGTGAAGCTACAAGCCAGGATTGGGGAGGGAAAACTGCAGCTGTGTGTGTCTGAAATACAGAATTTTATCAGCCCTCTGCAATAAAATTTAAATCACTGCTTCTTCCGCTCTGTCCCTTGCCTACGAGCTGTCCCAATCCTTTCTCCCAAGGCTGGAGGACTGGGCAGTAAGAAGGAATAAGAGAAAAACCGAGGCCAGTAAGCAGGGCTGCAGCAGAGACTTGCCCTGCCTCTCCCCACCCCCACTCATTCTATAAAAAGGATTCTCTCTTCCTCCCCTTGCTGGATATACGGGCTGTTGGGATGAAGGCCGGGTAAAGGCAAAGGGAGAAAACACTTAGCGCATTCTTTCCCCTGCTTTGATGTGAAGTGTAGCTGCAGCAAGGGGCACAGAAGTTGAGGCAAAAATATGAGGGACAGGAGAGCTTGGGAGCATAAGCCTGTCTAGAGAGGAAGAGGGTGCTTCTCCTGCCTTTTGTCCAAATCGGCTGAGAGCTTTACTCCAAAAACTACAGAAAAGAGTGAGAAGGGGAAGCATGTAAGGGTTGGGGCGGGGAAGGAGTGGGTGGGGGTAGGGGGCAACCACAAACAGGTTGGAGATTGAAGGATCCCTGTGATCCCCCAAGATGGCCCTGAGAGCATCAGTTGGGGGACTGGATGAAAAGTCACAGCAGACATGTGGTTTTTTGAGGGAGTGAGGAGCCTCTCTGGCCCCATCTTTAAGTGAAAGGGGAGACAAGGCCACAGAATAGTTGCCCTGATCTGCTGAATAACAATGAAATACTGACATCTTGTGTTATAGGACAGTGGTTCTCAATCAGTGGTAATTTTGCCCTCTCCTCTGACCTCCTCCGGGCGGTGGGAGGGGCGGGTCATTCGGCAAGGGCTGGAAACATTTTGGGGAAGAAGGGAGGTGCTACTTGCATCTAAGGGGAAGAGGCCAGGGATGCTGCCAAACATCCTACTATGCACAGGTCATCGGCTCCCCTCCCCCCAAACAATTACACACCTCAAAATGTTAGGAGTTGGAGAAACTCTGTCATAGGGTAAGAGGACTCAGAAGTCTTGACCATCCAGCCACGCTGCTCTCACCACTGTTTGAAAAACCCTGCCTTCCCTAGGCTCCAGAGTCAAAAGCCCAGCTGGAGGCTGCCACGGTCCTCCCGCCTCTCACCTTCTCCCCCAAGTACACAAACAAACCTTCCAATGCCGGTGGACAGGATGGCAGTAGAGGTCTTCAGTTCCTCGTAGAGATCAGCGCCATTGAAGGGGAAAGCCGAGAACTGAGCCAGCAGCACCCGCCTCAGGGCGACCAGGGCCTGCGGAA